ATGTTACTTAATTTAATTTAATGTTGAACAATGGCTTAGGAAGTTATAGGAAAAAAATAGAATTAAAAAATAAAAATAAAAAATTTTATTAAAAAAAAAGGCCTACCATTCATGTCGGATATAACCGACAAGAATAAATACAATGATGTCGGTCATATTCGATAGGAATAATGAAAATTCAGCCCTGCTTGTGGTTAGTTGAATTGGGCCAGCCGGTTGGCCCTTTGGTCCTTTCAGATTCCGTGGAACCCACGAGCCCTCTGGCCTATCCCTCAGTTGGAGACGGTTTTCGGGCTATTTTCGGCCCTCTGGACCCTTCGGTTGGAGATGGTCTTACAAAAACATCTTGTTTGAAACAGAGTCAATATCTATTAACCAATTAGGAGTTCCAATGACCAAACCAAAATTATTTACCATTCCATCCACATCGGAAAAGTCAAGAATAGGGTATTCTCATTCATCAACACAAACCTCTCTATTCCCAGCTACCAAATATTTAGTATAATTCCTATGGTTATATTGACGGATGGACTAACATTTTTCTTTGTCAAACTGAGGATTTCAGTCATTCATGGTTTATTGATTTTGAAAGTAAATTAAGGCCAAACTTCTTAGCTTGGTTTTCCAAGTGGTGGATTTCTCATGGCCCAACAGTCACTGTTAATCTGGAAACTCTCATGCAAAAAATTCAGGCATTTCTAGTACAAATACAAGAAAGACAAAAGTGAGATGGGTCTTAAAGTAAGAATAAGATGTCAACTATAAAGAAGTTTTCAGAGTCATCTCGGTCAAGTACTGGACAAATTCAACCAACAACAAATCATTGACCAGGTCCTCGAAAAGTTTCCAATTAAGCAATCTCGGGTTCCTCTAACACATTACTTTCAAAGATTTCCCCTTCATCTTCCTTCCAAGCAATGTCAAAATCATCTTCCTCAAACGAAAAGTCAGCCGCAGGATTACATATTGAGCTTATCAGCTACTTGCCAATCAGCCAGTTAACTTTTGAAAATGAATACGATTTGTCTTCTGAATCTTCAGATGCTTCCTCCCAGAAGTTGGCCACAACAGTTAAAACTGAACCAATAAAAGAAGAGCATAAGTTTGGATGGTCAAGACAATCAAGACCCTTATGAGTAAACTAACCAGAAGTTAAAATTGATTTTGGGGACCACTATTCATCCAGGATAGAAAATCAAACAATAATTCGACAAAGTACTCTTCATCTACGGTGCAGTTGTTGTGCCAATAATCATTCCACTTACAAGTTCAACAGTAAACTAACAAGATACTATTCATCTACAGTGCTGTCGTACCAATAATTACTCTACAACAGTCAAAATATTAATCATTTAAACAGACCATTATTCATGCACAAATCAACCGTCATCCGGCCCATGCTCCTATTGCCAATTGTGCAATCATTCATGCCTCATTCTCCCTTCCGAAGCCTAAGTTAGCAAGTTATACAAAATAGTATAAGTTATACAAGATAGTATTTCTGTTTAATTTTTTATTTTATTTGAAGTATATATATCGAGTTTTATGGGTGAAAATGATGATCTATTGCCAAGTCGGGTGCTGCATGGAACATTTGCAAATTGCGCAGCGTCGTCGCAATAATCGGGCAACTATTGAAATTGGTCCAACATCGGTGTTCGAACCCACAACAACAACAACGACAAGGTCAATGAACTTCCTTGGCTTCCTACAGCAATAGCTGCACGTCCAGCCATTTTTGTATCCATCTTTCGTTATATTCATGTAATTACAAGAACGTACGAACAAACCAAAAACAAAAGAAATTTATGTGAAACAAGAACACATAAGCATTCAATTTAAATCAAGAGTTGTCGACATGAAATGATAGACTCTTAGGGGGCGTTTGTTTGCCCGCACTAAGTTGGACTGGACTGGACTAGTTATTAGCCCAATACTGTGTTTGTTCCATGCTGGGACTAACATTAATGAGACTAAAGGGGACTAGCATGGACAAAACCCTTCACTAAGAGGTCTTAGCGAGACCCCCCAATAACCATGGGACTAGCTAAGACTATCCTCTCTTTCTCGTCCTTGTCATGCTCAACGACCACTCCCAACAGACTCCTCGTCATCTCCGGTCACCTAGATCAATCATTAACTTTTCGACTCTCTTTCAGATCCATTTCACAACCAACTTTCATATAAAATATACCAAATTGAAGCTGGGAGTGACAAGATTACGATTTTACCTGAATCGAGGCTAAAATGTGGTCGAATGTGGCCGGAAAATGGCCTGGAAGTCTCGGCCTGTTTGGGCTTCTTCAAATCCATGACAAATTCGAGCATTCAAAGCTAAGATCTTGGTCCAGGGATGGTGATGAATTTTTTGGCGGTGCTAACTTCATCCAATTTAACGAGGGTTGGCCAGAAAACATATCAGGAAACCTGCAACTCGTCAGGAAAATTGAAGCCGTGAGGTTCCGTTCGAACAACGCATAGCTACAGAGGGAGGGAGGGAGGACAGAGAAATAGAGATTGGAATCAATAAGGAGTTTGACCAGGAATGAGAAAGAGACATGAATTGAGAGGTCTAAGAGGAAAAAAAGAGGGAGAAGGTGGGATGATGAGAGAAGAGGAAAAGAGTGGGACGGAAATGGTAGGAAAAGATGGAGAAAAAGATAAGATCATAATAAAATATTAATAATTTATATATTAAATAATATAATATTAGAATTTGTTAGTCCAATACTGCACCAAACGCTTCACTAAGTTAATCCAGTTTAGTCTAGTCTAAGCCAGTCCAGCTTAATCCTTGAAGCTAATCCAGTCCGAGGTAGTCTGGCGCAACAAACGCCCTCTTAGAGTTAGGGTTTAGATAAACATTCACGCATGCATGCAGTTGGAGACAATTTGACATGAGAAATCGCACGCAACTAAGCATACAGTCAGTCCCATATGAATTTGGAATCTTTATATCTCTTATTCGATCGCTGAGGAAAATGCCAAAATGGTGCAAAGATATAATTGGCTAGCTTTACTAGCTTTAGCTAGATGGACTCTAGGATTAGATAATGAAGTGAACATATATATATACGAATGAATGATTTGGTCAACTTCGAGCAATATTGTATCGTGCAGCAGCACTATCGTAAAAGATAAAACAAACGAGAAAGGAAAGGGGAAAAAGCTGCTCCCTCTGCCTTTCAATTCTGGCAAACAAAGAAAAACAGGAGAATATATCTCAAATGGCACAATGAACAGGCCATCAGATTCATCTGTGACTATTCCACTTGGCATATGGGCTGTAGTTAAAATTCAACAACGACACAGCCATGGGAGAGTTCATTTGGGCTCGTCAATGAGGTACTCTTAAATTGGGTTGGGCATTCCCAAAATATTATTGGAATAAAGTCAAAAGTAAAAGTGTCGGTAATAAGCGTATCTTTAAGGGAGAGACTTTTGTTCCGATGTCGTATTAGAATGTTAAATTAACACTCTCAACACTACAAGCCGGTTTGCAAGATAAGGATATGGTACGTGTATAATCGGTTTGTATAGAAAAACGATGCCCAAAAGCTTGTAAGATCATCTCCAACTGAAAAGTTTAGAGCCAGATGATCAAAAATAGCCCGAAAACCAATATATGCTATAAATCTTCAACGATATATATTAGGTCCTAACAAGAACTTTAGCCGGCTTTTTATGGGAAACTGCACATTTTTTTGGAGACTAGTTGGAGAAGGATTGAATTAAGACAACCATCTCTCTAGTACGTAGTGCCGAACTTTGGCACAGCGCTGCGATAAAGCCTCTATTTCTTGATGCAACCATGCGTGATGGAACCTCTATATGACTCTGCAACTACAGGTTTCTCAAAAGACGGACATTACTGTCCGCAGGGGCCCTTCCTTGAGCTAAAAGACATAAATTAGACTAACGTGGAAAGTGTGGACAATAACAAAGCCAAAAGGTGGTCCAATAATTTGGATTTGTACAGAAAATTTGGAAATGTTTAATTAAATTACTTAATTGCTTACACATCTCATATCTTTTCATATTCATCTTTACACGGTATATGATTTATTAGGTTTTGTCTAGCAAGACAATAGAAGATTCTAACTCTTAGCAAGCGATTGTGAATTAAAGCTAACTTTCAATTTTTCCTCTGTTGAATATTAGGGATTACTAATGTTCAGGACTTTTACAAACTATAAGTGATACCAAGCAATATGTCATAGCTACACAATATATGTGACGTTTGAATCATTTAAATTAATTTTTTCTATGTTTACTAACACATACGAAATCAGACTAATTAATTCGATTTTCTTTCCTTACTTCTCTACGTTTAAGTTTCCCAATTCTTTAATTTTCATGATATAAACATGCCGCAAGTCTCTTATGTTGTGCATTATCAAGCTAGGACAAGAAAGAAAAAAATGACAAATACAGGAAGCGAATCTTGACACGCAAGTGATCCTAAAATTATTTCCTAGACAATGAAATTAGCCAAAGCAAAATATATGTATCAATCCAGCTTTACTTTAGTCGCTGTCCCAATAACGAAAAATAATTTACAGTAGATTCGTCTGCCTTTATGAAGCTTGTTGGTTTTTTCAAGTGCCTTTATGAAGCTTGTGGTTTCTCTTGAGTTGTGACTTGTGTGGTTACAAGGCATGAAGATATATATTTATATATTACACTGTTGTTTTACATATTTTTTAGACACGTTTTGTGAGGCCCACTTTCTAATTTATTTTAAAGATCTAAATCATTTATCTTTTAAACCATCATTCATAGATGTTCATTGCAAAAAATTAGACAAATCTAAAACTATTAAAACATTCATTTGTAGTGAATAAAATAGACCAATACAGTATGATTTCAGATTTTGGTGATTTTTTGTATGCATAATCTTTGAGGGAAGACTTAAATTATAGATGGTTCGGATTGTGGAAATACATTACAAAGTGGATCTTACAAAAACGTGTGCCAAAAATTGTGTAAAAATGGTGTCATGGATCCATCCCCTATATATGAATGTGTGTGTGTGATCTTCTACTAGCCCAGAGAAGTGTAACATGGCTTCCAATTACCACTTATTCCTACTTATCTTTGTCTTTGCTGGTGCATTTCTTGAATCCAACTGCAAGCTCACTCAAAATTTCTACAAATCCAAATGTCCAAAAGCATTGTCCATTGTGCAAGAAGGAGTTATAGCAGCCATAAAAAACGAAACGCGCGTCGGAGCTTCCTTGCTCCGTCTGCATTTCCACGATTGCTTCGTCAATGTAAGTATATTTACCTTCACTTACTGTGCTCGTGTTCAGCCATTCTTAACTGAAGGGGTTGGCTTACTTTCTTTGTTTAATCTCAGGGTTGTGATGCGTCGGTGCTGTTGGACGATACATCAAGCTTTGTTGGTGAGAAAACAGCAGCTCCTAACAACAACTCCATTAGAGGATTTGAAGTTGTTGATCGAATTAAAGCCAAGCTTGAGAAAGCATGCCCCGGAGTAGTCTCATGTGCTGATCTTCTGGCTCTTGCTGCGCGTGACTCGACAGTTCATGTAAGTAACCTATCTTAATTTCTTGTGAAACATGTACAAAATGAACTGGCTACAAAAAATTTCATCAAAAATGGAACTGACCGTCACTAAACACACAAGAAACCATACACATAATACGGTTTAGTATCCTTTATTGTCTGTTTAGTGTCTCTCAAGTCTATAACTCGTTCATGTGTGCATATATTCCCTGATCTCTTCCTCCAAAATCTCAAATTTCAATTAACATTGTCATAAATCTTCTCCATTGGCATCTATTTTTACATGTAAATTAATACTTTTGGAATTGCAGTTGGGAGGTCCTTCATGGAAAGTTGGTTTGGGAAGAAGAGATTCAACCACTGCTAGCAGAAGTGCTGCCAACACCTCCATTCCTCCACCAACTTCCAATGTAAGTGCTCTAATTTCAAGCTTCTCTGCGCACGGCCTCTCCTTAAGGGACTTGGTCGCTCTTTCGGGTTCTCACACAATTGGCCTTGCAAGATGCACATCATTCCGCTCACGCATCTACAACGACTCCGCCATCAACGCCACCTTTGCCAGTTCATTGCACAGAATTTGCCCAAGAAGCGGAAATAACAACAACCTTGCAAGACTTGACCTCCAGACCCCAACACATTTTGATAACTTGTACTACAAGAATTTGTTGAAAAAAAAGGGACTTCTTCATTCAGACCAGGAGCTCTTCAACGGAACAACTTCTACTGGTGCACTGGTTAAAATTTATGCAAGCAACACATTCACATTCTTCAAGGACTTTGCCGTGGCCATGGTCAAAATGGGAAACATCGATCCCCTTACGGGAAGGCAGGGCGAAATCAGAACTAATTGCAGAAAAGTGAACTAAAATTTTATGAGCTCATAGATAGAGAATGGAGTGCGAAAATCTTTTCATTTGTATAAAAGTACTCATGTGTTTGGACAAAAAAAAAAAAATAAGTCGGAGAAATGTGACTAAACCATAATGTGGGCAGTTAAACTTATTATCGATGTTATTCTAAGTCGAACTTTCCATTTAAATTTGTGGTTTTTGTTAATCTGTTTAAATTTTATTTAATTTTGCCACACTTACCTATTTTTACACAAATGATATTGGGAGAGAATTTCAAACTCGAGTCCAAAAACTACTTGAGCTATAATGCCCCAAACATGTCACTACACATTTAACAGCTATGCTTTCATTTCACTTCCACAATCAAATCAGATCAAATCCGATACAAAATTATGTAGGTTAAAGAGACGCTACAAAAAAAGGGTCCAGTGATTGTTCCACTACTTTAGGAAACTTTTACACTTTCTCATGCTTTCTTTCATTTACTTGCTTAGCCTTCATCTCTACTTCTCGAGTTGACTGTACACAGAGATAAAAGTGTTCTAACTATCAAGGACTTACATCGATGTAAATTGGTGAGCGGTGGTAGTTACATCAGAATTAGTCGATTGCACACTATTGTGACTACACAGAGAACACAACGGGTTTTGGCTCCCTTGCCTTTTCTATACGATGCACCATATAGCTCTTCCATTTTACTCTACTCAACTGAATCAACTTCCTCTTCTGACAGTTCAAATGCATCGATCTCTGCGAAGTATTTTCTCTTCTCCTCAATCTCTTCTAAGTAAGCTCTCTGCTTCTCGGAAGCTGGTACCGCACGCTGCTTCTGTAGAAATATCACAAACAGATTAAAAGTGAATAACTATAAACCCAGACCTTATTGTAAAATGGAACGTAACTTATTTCACCACAGGCTGTACAGATAGGAAAAGAACATGAACTCGTTTCAACAAACACAAAAACTTCCAGAACAAACTAAAGGTCACTTATAAGTTTGAGGACTGTTTAAACAAGTGAAACGACAAACAGACCATATAGTATTAAGTGGACTACATCCCCTCCCTTTTTGTCTTTCACTAGCATAGAAATAAAAACAAATAGACGATAAAGAAAAGTCAGCTCCAAAAATCTGCTGCCGGAATCAAAACTCTGAAAGAGATGTTATCTCTCAAACGGTAGCCCAAACGACTCAACCTCACAGTGAAGAACGAATCTTGCCATAGACATGCTCTTTGGGTGTCAATATTGAACCATGTTGTTTGACAGGCTTGTCGATATATAGAAATTCTAACTCTGATAGAATAATGTTGTTTTGGACTGATATGAAAGCACAGCAGAACTGATCAATTTATTGTAGGAACCAGACTCCAGATAAAACTAGCAGTTTCTACATGAAACAACGGGAAAGTTACCATAATCGTTAACAAACCTTTTTGTGAGGAGCCAATGATTCCTTGGATGCACTGTTGTGTCCGCTTTCCCTTGTTTGTTTCCTATTTTGAATGGGAGGAAGACACACAGAAGCATTAGCTTTAACAATACCCATACAAATAGAATATCAAATAGAAGCGTGCCAAAGGAAAAAGCGTATTTAGAGCATTCTCATTCAAGAAACAGCAAGGCGTTACAGTAGTCTCAGCAGATCACTCAAGTGGGACGACGGAAGACTTGGCGCAAAACCATGCACAATGGTGTTCTACAATTCATATAGCCGACCCACTTAGTGGGAAAAGGCTTGGTTGGTGTTGTATTGCTCTCAAAATGAATATCTTATCATATTCTTGTACTAACAACCTACAATGTTTTGATGAATAACCTCTTACAGCAAGGCATCTAACTTTTGAAAACTCCAAGCAGTGACGTCGTTTCCTCCCATTACTTCTACAATCCATAGCACTACACGGGAATTAGACACTTACCTAGCATTCCGGGTCTTTGGTGCAGGAGGACAACTCCAGGATCCAGCATTTTCCTTCCCTTTACCCTTCCTTTTTACTGCAGTCTGTCTTCGAGTATACACTGAACAAGGTTCAAGAGCCTCACGATCGCTGGTACCTAAACTCGAAAACCAGAATATACCAATAAGGTCTCAAACCACTTAGATTTTCAAAGAAAATGCACAGCTGAGTGTAAGAACAGCATCAAGTTCAATTCAAAATATGCACTCAATTGCGAACACAGAGCAACAAATTCAACTAATACCAACAGATTCAGGCTACAATTAAAATTCGAAACAAACAGATTCCAAGCGAACTGTTGTTCTTCTAGAGTTTCCGCTAATTTACAGCAGAAAATTTCCAAAGCGCATAGAAAACCCTAGATTCCCAAATTGAAATAAAAACCAGAACAAACAAAAATCGCAGCCCAAACCAACCAAGAAAACGAAGAAACCCAAATCCGGAGCAGAGAAATTACCAGAAGCGGAGGACGAGACGGGAGGAGGACGAGGAGGAGTGGACGGAATCGGCGGCGGGACTGCGGAGGGTTTAGGGGTTAAAGCCGAGAGGATGTTCCTAGTGACGGAGGCCAGCTTGGGATTCTGGCGTTTGAGCGCGGGGGTGGAGGCGGACGATGACTGAGAAGAGGCGGCGGTGGCTACGGTGGTGACCGTCGTGGTGGTGGTGGTGGTGGAGGAAATGGTGTTGGTGCAATCCGAGAGAGGGTTTCGGGATCGCAGTCTTCTTCTCGATGGCTCAGCTTCCATTTCTTTTTGTTTTTTTGCTACTTCATAATTTGCTTACTTCTTTATATATGAATGAATGAGTGAGTGAGTTCTGAGCGCAAAAGAGTGGCGGGAGAATTCTGTTCGGTTCTGGAATCTGGAATCCGGATGGTTCGTCGTTTTTCTTTACCGAGTTACGAGTAGTGGGTGCTCCCCGTTATGGGCCTAATCTAGGTTGGGTCGGCCTACTATAAAACTAGGCCTAAGTTTTTTTTCTCTTTTAGAAAAACCTATGGGCTGAGTAGAGGTTGGTGTCTCTGGGTCTATTGAATTAAAAAAGGGAGCATACCCGAATACCGAACCGAACGGTTTGGAAATAATTTGTTTTTTTGGGGTTTTTTTTTTAATGGTCTCCGAAATTGACTTGAATTCAGAATTGATCAATATCGTTCCTAAATTTGAATAGCGCGGTTTATTGTGGTTTTTTTATCTGAGTGTTGTACAGTAACAGGTTAATGTTTTTGATGTGATACATATGTGAACTCACACATCCAATTAAATAGCACCACGTGATTAAATGAAATTTTTTTTTATTGAAAGCAACTGTAGGATAGATTTCATTGATAAAGAAGAAACAGTTACAAAGTAAGGCCGGCAGAAGAAGCTGCCCCAAAGACAATCAACAGCAGGCAAATTAACAATAAAATCGGGGGGTTCTTCAAACCAAGAGCAGGAGGTATGGAGAGCAAAGCGGGCAAGGCGGTGAGCAGTACCATTGCCTTGGCGACGGATATGGGCAACCGAAGCTCCAGTAATCTTGAAAAGAGAAGCCTTAAGACTCTTCGATAAGATGCCCCAAGTTGGACATATTCAAAGAGTTCTCGAGCAAAGTTTTCACAATCTAGAGAGAATCACACTAAAAAAGGAAATCTTTAAAACCTCTTTCCATCATCAACGACAAGCCTTTCCAAGCAGCCAAAGCTTCCGCTTGAAGGGGAGAGAACACAAAACGAAACCGAATGGAAGCTCAAGTGGGGAACAATGTTTCTCCCAGTCTATCCAATGAATTTTTCTAGAATCATCAGCACCATTCCACCAAAATTTGGCAACCATTTTGTTGAGCTCGTCACAAAAGTACTTGGGAAGTAGGAAGCAATTCATAGTATAAAGCGGAATAGCCTGGGCAACCACTTTTATTAACAATTCTTGGCCTGCAACACTAAACAACTTGCCTTTCTAGCTTTATAATCTTTTCCATAATTGCTCTTTAATATGCCCGAAGCAGGCAACACGATTCCTACCGATCAGAGTTGGGAGCCCCAGATAATTAACATGTCTGTCAACCCTTTCAACACCCAAAAGGTTAGCCAAACGAATCTGATTTGGACGATTAACATTCCCACTGAAGGATTAAATGATTTAGATCCATGTAGAAAAGGTGATTGAAAATCATTATTGATTAATTAAAATCTTAAAGTATTGGTGTAATTATCCTCTGAAAATATTTCGCAAAAATGAACAATTCTGTGTACCTAAGATTTGCACTTTTCTCCAAGAAATTCAATGGCCTTGATGGTTTCGTCGGCAAATCCACATTTTCTTTGGTTAATCAATAATCGCACACGTGCTCATTGTCTGCAGATTCCATACTTTTGTATCTAACATGGGCAGTAAGAGCAGCCTCAAAACAAACAAACAAACAAAAATTATGATTTCCCAAATCCTAAGGTAGTTTCCTAGGTGAGTATGTATTATATTCATAAAATATTTTTTCTCCCATTGATCACGGTATATCTTACATTGCTAGTCTCAAATTAGAATAAAAGAAGAAAGAAAGTGCGTCAGATATCTGCAACAGACATTTCGTTTTTATATTGAATATCTATGACACTACTACAATATAGGCTATCACCGGCGGACCAAAAACCGACAAGAAACCCCGATTTCTGTCGGAAATTTGGCAAAAATCCGACATAAAACACTGCAATGTCGGATTGGAATAGCGACGCCATTGCTACCGTCACTAAAGGGCTTCAGCGTCGCTTTGTTCGCTTAATCCGCCACTACGCAGCGTCGGTTTAAAGCGACGCTGATGTTAACGTCGGTTTAAAGCGACGCTAGTCAACAATTAACTAAATAAAATATGCAAACTAGTGACGGTTTAAAGCGACGTTAGAGAACAATTAAATAAATAAAATATGCAAACTAGTGACGATTTAAAGCGACACCACCTTTGATAATAATAATTAAAAAAAAAGTCGAAATCTGTTTCTGTATTCGTTCTCAAATAATTATAACTCAAAAAAATTATATAATCGAAATAATAAATTTCAATTTTAGGCCAAAACAAACAATAATAAAAATAATTCAAAAGAAAAATAGTGCCATAATATACAAATGTTTTACATCTAACATTCCATATAATTTACAAAAATTCATCCTCCATGCTTTCCTGTGCTTGCCTTTGTCGAAGACCACATATTTTGTAGCTCCATAGTGCCATATATAATACTAGCAACTCCATGCTGCCATGCTTGCCATCAGATCAGTGCTCCAATACTTTACTACTTCAACATTAAGGCTCTAATCTCTATAGATTAAACTCAGGTTTTATACCTTTAAAAAATTATGGATCTGCGATTTCCAGTGTCCTTGCTCTTCAGATCCAACATGCATAAATACAAAAAAAACAATTAAAAACCAAGAAACAAAAATAAATTTTCAATTTAAGCATAAAACTATTTAGAATACAAAATAGAAACTAAAATTAATAATCATAATAATTTAAAAATGAACCACCTTCAAGCTCTTCCTCCTCGAATTGGAGTTCTTCAGAATGTTGATCTTCAAACTGGTGATCCAAAGCAAACGGGGAAGGAGTTGAGGAAAAAATGAAAAGGAGGAAGAAGGGGACGCACAGATGAAATGGGGAAGGAGAAGAAGAAAGTCTGAAATTGGGGGAGAAATGAAAGCACGGTTGAAATGGGAAAGAGAGGGGTTTAAATATGGGTACTTAGTTTGCGTCCGTTAAAACCGACGCAAACGTCTGACACTTTTTTTGAAATTCACATAGCGCCGCTTTAATGAAACTCGCGTCGCTTTAATGAAACTAGCGTCGCTTTAATGAAACTAGCGTCGCTTTTAACCGACGCCAACTTCTGACACACTTTTTGAAATTCACATAGCATCGCTTTAATGACACTAGCGTCGGTTAAAACCGACACTAAGTCTCTCCATCCATTCAAACAAGCGGGAAATTTCCCGCCTAATATTTCAAATACTATAATTTTATATATATTAATTTTATAACCCTAAAAAATACTATAATAATTATATATATTAATGTAACAATTTTATACCCCTAAAAACTATAATAATTATATATATATATTAAATTAAATTTTAAAAATTGGTGACCGTTGGATCAGTTTCAATATACATACCATTCAATTTCTTTAAGTGTTATACATACAAAATAAATAAATTTAAATCTACTTAATAAATATATATATATATATACACACACCATTGAACTTGATGGGATACAAATTCTATGGAACTTTTCGATGGTTATAAAACGAAAAACTAATTTAAATCAATATGTCGCTTAAAAGCGACACTGGGTTTCAAAATATTTAAAAAAACTAATTTAAATTGAAGATCGAATTCATTCATTCTATTCATATAGGGTCAAGGAATGTAGCTGTAAAAAATCATCGAAATCGGAGTTAAAATAACCGTTAAATCGTGATTTTTCGTTTATAACCGTCGAAAAGCTTTGTCTCGTTACTTGATCTCTGAATGTTTGTTTTTTGTGATTTTTTGCTGATGTGATCTTGAAGCATATGCAAACAAGTTTGACGGCTGGGATCGTTGAAATTAGTTTCGGAGAATTCGTATCCCATCAAAACAATAGATTGACTAATACTTAGAGTTTATTTATACTTTCATTAAGTATAACATAAGATTTGTGGTATCTACTTGTGTAAATATTTTAATTTGAAGATCGAATTCATTCATTGTATTCATATAGGGTCAAGGAGTGTAGCTGTAAAAAATCATCAAAATCGGAGTTAAAATAACCGTTAAATCGTGATTTTTCGTTTATAACCGTCGAAAAGCTTTGTCCCGTTACTTGATCTCTGAATGTTTGTTTTTTGTGATTTTTTGCTGACGTGATCTCGAAGCATATGCAAACAAGTTTGACGGTTGGGATTGTTGAAATTAGTTTCGGAGAATTCGTATCCCATCAAAACAATAGATTGACTAACACTTAGATTTTATTTATACTTTCATTAAGTATAACATAAGATTTTGTGATATTCACTTGTGTAAATATTTTAAATTGAAGATCGAATTCATTCATTCTATTCATATAGGGTCAAGGAATGTAGCTGTAAAAAATCATCAAAATCGGAGTTAAAATAACCGTTAAATCGTGATTTTTCGTTTATAACCGTCGAAAAGCTTTGTCCCGTTACTTGATCTCTGAATGTTTGTTTTTTGTGATTTTTTGCTGATGTGATCTTGAAGCATATGCAAACAAGTTTGACGGCTGGGATCGTTGAAATTAGTTTCGGAGAATTCGTATCCCATCAAAACAATAGATTGACTAATACTTAGAGTTTATTTATACTTTCATTAAGTATAACATAAGATTTTGTGGTATCTACTTGTGTAAATATTTTAATTTGAAGATCGAATTCATTCATTGTATTCATATAGGGTCAAGGAGTTTAGCTGTAAAAAATCATCAAAATCGGAGTTAAAATAACCGTTAAATCGTGATTTTTCGTTTATAACCGTCGAAAAGCTTTGTCCCGTTACTTGATCTCTGAATGTTTGTTTTTTGTGATTTTTTGCTGACATGATCTCGAAGCATATGCAAACAAGTTTGACGGTTGGGATCGTTGAAATTAGTTTCGGAGAATTCGTATCCCATCAAAACAATAGATTGACTAACACTTAGAGTTTATTTATACTTTCATTAAGTATAACATAAGATTTTGTGGTATCCACTTGTGTAAATATTTTAAATTGAAGATCGAATTCATTCATTCTATTCATATAGGGTCAAGGAATGTAGTTGTAAAAAATCATCAAAATCGGAGTTAAAATAACCGTTAAATCATGATTTTTCGTTTATAACCGTCGAAAAGCTTTGTCCCGTTACTTGATCTCTGAATGTTTGTTTTTTGTGATTTTTTGCTGATGTGATCTCGAAGCATATGCAAACAAGTTTGACGGTTGGGATCGTTGAAATTAGTTTCGGAGAATTTGTATCCCATCAAAACAATAGATTGACTAACACTTAGAGTTTATTTATACTTTCATTAAGTATAACATAAGATTTTGTGGTATCCACTTGTGTAAATATTTTAATTTGAAGATCGAATCCATTCATTGTATTCATATAGGGTCAGGAGTGTAGTTGTAAAAAATCATCAAAATCGGAGTTAAAATAACCGTTAAATCGTGATTTTTCGTTTATAACTGTCGAAATTAGTTTCATAGAATTCGTATCCAATCAAGTTCAATGGTGTGTGTGTGTGTATATATATATTAAGTAGATTTAAATTTATTTATTTTGTATGTATAACACTTAAGAAATTGAATCGTATGTATATTTAAGCCAATCCAATGATCACCAATTTTTTAAAATTTAATTTAATATATATATATATAATTATTATAGTTTTTAGGGATATAAAATTTAATTTAATATATATATAATTTAATATATATATATATACACACTTTATGTCACTTAAAAGCGACACTAGTATTTAAAAATTATTAAAATAATGTTTACGTCGGTTTAAAAGCGACACTAGTATTTAAAAATTATTAAAATATATGTTTACGTTGGTTTAAAAGCGACATAAACATTTAATAACGCTTATAAGCGACAGTAAATCCGACGTCATGTTCAGTTAGTATCGCAACTGCCTAATCCGCTACTATATTAGATTAAAGCGACACCACCCTCCGACACTATAGCCCCCTTTTGTAGTAGTGTGATCATGATATAATTATCAATTAAGTTATGTAATGGTAAATGTAACATACTATACATTGGTCCGCAAAATATCACTACATCGTTAATTGGAAACTTGAATTCCTCTTTATTCAGATGAACACTTATATTATAACAAGTATAGTAACAATATTTTGTAACAGTGTTATCTGCATATTAAAAAATTTATCTCCTTTAGCGATCCGATGATTTGATCAGTACGTGAGTGTGAACCACGTGTTAGCAAACCATCGTCTGAGACTCTGAAAGTGGATAGAAAAAACAGCAGACATGCACCACACCACTGAAGATTTTGAAAAACCGGGGTCCGTGTGGCATTTGGTTTACAGTTTCCAGTGTTCCAAGCAAAGAGAAAGAACCACGTAAACCAGGGGCCACACGAAATAAAAAAAAATCAAAAGCACACTTCTCAACATAAACCCTGCTGCTTCTGCTTATCGTTAGGGGTGGGCATAAAAACCGCAAAACCGCAAAACCGCATCGAACCGTAAGAAAAAAAATCGAAAAAAACCGTGTTGACCGGAAAAGTCAACTTTGAGTGAAAAACTGAACCGAACCGTTCAAACCGGTTCCGGTTCCGGTTTCGAATGACCAAGAACCGGCCGAACCGAACCGAACCGTTTTATTAATAATAAATAAATAAATTATATATACGCACACATGTCATAGTATAATAGGTTGAAAAATTGTGTACAGGAGCTGCTGCTTCTTGCTTGCTCTCTGAAGTCTGAAAACCTACAATTTGTTTCATCATTTTTTTGTTTGTTGACTGATTGACCAGTGCATATGTATTTTAGTTGTCTCTTTTTGTTGACTTGGTGCCACTACCAAAGACATTTGCATTAAAAAAGATGTGTTGTATGCAACTTTATGTAATTAGTTTTAGAAGATGTATTTGAATGCATAATGATTTGGTGTTCAAATAATTTATTATTAGAAACCGTAAACCGGCAAGAACCGAATCGGAACCGGTGTAGACCGAACCGTAATGTTCTAGTTATAAATTTAAGTGGAACCGCACCGAATCGAACCGTTAATATATTTCGGTTCCGGTTCTAGTTTAGGGGTGGAACCGCACCGAACCGCACCGTGCCCACCCCTACTTATCGTCTTCATCTATATAAATACCAACCCTCCTTTGCTTTCCACTTCATTCCATTCCACCTTATAAACTTACTCATAGGTTTCGCTTTATCAGTTTTCTGAGAACTTGGTTGGCAACAGAAGGAGAAGAAGAAGCAATCGAAATTCAAATGGAGGCAATTCAGTCCTGGGTTTCAGAACACAAGCTTACAAGCATTGGTGAGTACACCCAGCACTACTTTAATCTCCTTCTCTTTTAATATCAAACCCGTTTAAAAATGCTTTTTCAAAAAGTACTTTTTCCACCAACGCTTCTAGTAAAAACACTTGTATTAGAAGCACATTACTATTTGAACAAAAATGTAAGCCCGTTCTGAAGGAAAAAAACACTAAAGTTTTCTTGAACATGTACTTTATCTTTATTTATAAAACACTTCAAATATACTTTTTTTTATTTAAATTTCATAAGCGCTTTAAAATATTGTTAGGAGCGTTTTTGGTAATCTTGAAGTGTTTTTAGTTATTGTAAAAGGACTTCCAAATAAATCTTAACGCGTATTATCAGTCTAAGAGTTAAGTTTGTTAGAACAGTGTGCTTCTCTGCAAGACTGCAACCAACTTTGAAACCCCCCTTCAATAGTTTAAAATAGATTAGAAGGGATTAATAACAATGTTAATTAATCTCTTTGTTTCTGTGTAATCATTATTACAGGAGGAATATGGGCGTCAGCAGTTGGAGCATCTCTAGCCTATTCACGAACAAGAACACCCCTCAAGCCAAGCCTGAGGCTTATACATGCTAGGATGCACGCACAGGCCTTGACCCTGGCTGTCCTATCTGGTGCAGCAGTCTACCATTACTATGAGGAGCATTAAGCAGCTGCCCGCCACCATGGAGAAAACTAATGCTTCTCCAATAAGCACCTGCCTAAGTCAGTGCTCCATTGCATAATTCGACCATTTCTACTATTAAGTTGATCTTAATTACTTAAGAGTTAATCTGAACATTAATGTGTACGTTGTCTCTTAATCAATATTCTATCTTAGTTTCTTTATTTCACTTTTATTAGTTGCTGTACTGTACACCATATATATAAGGAGGCTTGGTTTATCTACGTATATCAATTCCAGTAGGTTCGAATCCCCTTCCTTATTAGGATAAAAATGGGTAGTACTATCCACACACTAATTTTTTATCTTCCACACACTTCTCTTAATTTCTGACCGTCAGATCGAAATAATTGAAGAAGATCAATCATCAAAATTTAACAAGGGTGTGTAGGAGGTCAAAATAGGCGTGTGAACTGAAAAATAATGAAATTCATCCTAACTAGTTCGAAAGATGATTGCGGGTTCTTGGTGAAAAAGAATGGTCTCGTTAAAACCTTTCCCGAAAAAGAGAAAAATCTGGTCTAGTTAAGGGAAAGCAAATTGGTTCACATGCGTTGTATATACAAAACGTGGTAATAAAAGAAAATTGTTATCAACACTAAAAATATGTTACTATACAAAAACGAGTGGGGAAATTGTACATGAAGAGTTGCCGAACGACTTCTTTTAGTGTCGATAAATTAGTGTGTGACTTACACCGTGAGGTTTTTTATTAATTTGTGCTTCTTTTTTCTTCAAATTTTTTGTTCGATTTTTGCTCATTTATCGGCGACACTCTAATTCTTGGATTAAAACTTCAATTTAAGTTTTGATTCAGAAATAATTTTCCTGCTCCAAATAGGTTAAATTTTAGTTCAAAATTATTAAAAAATTAATTTAGACTTTTTTTTAAATAATTTTTAAAAAAAATTATGTACACTATGTCACATCCCGGCCCGGGGCGGATCACTTCCCGGGCCCACTCCACCACCATAGCACGATATTGTCCGCTTTGGGCTTACCATTCCCTCACGGTTTTATTTTTGGGAACTCACGAGCAACTTCCCAGTGGGTCACCCATCATGGGATTGCTCTAGCCTCATTCTCGCTTAACTTCGGAGTTCCTACGGAACCCGAAGCCAGTGAGCTCCCAAAAGGCCTCGTTCTAGGTAGGGATGGGAATATACATATAAGGATCACACCCCTGGGCAATGTGGGATCACAATCCAACCCCCTTAGGGGCCCGACGTCCTCGTCGACACACCACGACCAGGGTTAGGCTCTGATACTAAATGTCGCATCCCGGCCCGGGGCGGAACCACTTCCTGGGCCCGCTCCACCACCGTAGCACGATATTGTTCGCTTTGGGCTTACCATTCCCTCACGGTTTTGTTTTTGGGAACTCACGAGCAACTTCCCAATGGGTCACCCATCATGGGAATGCTCTAGCCCCCTTCTCGCTTAACTTCGGAGTTCCTACGGAACCCGAAGCCAGTGAGCTCCCAAAAGGCCTCGTTCTAGGTAGGGATGGGAATATACATATAAGGATCACACCCCTGGGCGATGTGGGATGTCACACACTATCTAAACTTAATTTTATAGACGTTTTAATCTAAAAATATTTAGAATCCGATAAATATTGAAAAATCATCAAACCTGACACTTATTAACTACATAAAATTAATTAGTAAATCATAATTACTAATTACTAAACCATAACCTTTAGCTCTAGCAAATATTTTATGCGGGAATTAACAAAAATGTTCACTTGATGTGATTTTATCCTTTATTAAGCCCCGAAACTATTTCTCGTTAATTTTTTGAAGTTGAAAAATAGAAAGGAAAAAGAAAAAAAAAACTAACTGTGGGGTCTCGCAAAGAGATATGTAGGTGTCCAAAATCTTGGGAATGTGCTAAATTAATTTTAAGAAACATACGGTGCGAGTAAAATAACTATAACTTTGGCTTATAAGTTTATAACGAATATTGTAAAAGTTCTCAACATCGATTAGAGAACTATGGGTTGTAAATCACAGTTTTTGTGAAAATTTGAAATTTTTAGCTTTAGGAAATATTTGTGTCGGAGTTAAAGAAAATATTGGAAGACCTTTGGACGTGATACCGTTTATTAGGTCCTGAAACTATTTTTTTATTGATTTTTTCAAGTTGAAAATATGAGAGTATCTTTAAATTTAGGTTTTAAATCATTAATTTCAAGTGTTTAAATATTAATTATAAAAGATTTAGCATGGGATAATATATTTTGAAGAACATGAAATTTCAAGTGCTAGCGATTGTAACTGAGTGCAATCGCTAGCACGATGGCAACTCCCTTCAAGGAGGATCGGGATCAAAGTATCGATCGTAACATTTCCCCCCCCCCCCCGCCTTTTTCTTTTTCTTTTTCCATTGAATTTCTTCTTCTTAGTGCGTTACTTTTGTGACATCCCACATCGCTCAGGGGAGTGATCCTTAAATGTATATTCCCATCCCTACCTAGCATGAGGCCTTTTGGGAGCTCACTGGCTTTGGGTTCCATCGGAACTCCGAAGTTAAGCGAGAAGGGGGCTAGATGCGTGATCCATCAGGAAGTTCTCATGTGAGTTCCCAAAAACAAAACCGTGAGGGCGTGGTTGGGGCCCAAAGTGGACAATATCGTGCTACGGTGGTGGAGTCGAGCTCGGGTTGTGGTGGGGGCCCGGGTCGGGATGTGACAACTTTATTTAGATTCAAATACCTTTTATATTTGTATCCTTATTTTCATATTTTTTGACATGGATTATAAGAAAATTTTCACCAAAAATACATTTTGTAGAACATCAATATGATAGTTTCGTGTTGTGGTATGGGCAAGACGAAAATTTAACAAAAATAAAAAAAAAATAAAAGGAAAACTAATGAAAATGGCTTGAAAACTTTGAGTTTTAATGATAAAGACAAAATAAAGGGTAAAGTGAATAGTACCATGATTGATTTTTTAGTGTAAAAATGTGGTTTTTCGTTAAAGTGAACAGTACCGCGGACTTTTCGTTAAAACTCCCAAAAATAAAACTTTAAATAAATAAAATTAAAAGTTTAGACGTAGTCCAAACGTATGCCCACTAGAAAGTTCAAGCCACATTAGAAGCAGTGAAGGCCCATGAGGTTTAGTGTTTAGGGGCACATGAATAGTAACACCATGAGGTTTAGTGTTTAGGGGCGTGTTAATTTTATAGATGTTTTAATCTAAAAATATTTAGATTCCGATAAATATTGAAAATTCACTAAACCTGACACTTATTAACTACATAAAATTAATTAGTAAATTATTAAACCATAACCTTTAGCTCTAGCAAATATTTTACGCGGGAATTAACGAAAATGTTCACTTGATGTGATTTTATCCTTTATTAAGCCCATAAACTATTTCTCATTAATTTTTTGAAGTTGAAAAATAGAAAGGAAAAAAAAAAAAAACTAACAGTGGGGTCTCCCAAAGAGATTTGTAGGTGTCCAAAATCTTGGGAATGTGCTAAATTAATTTTAGGAAACATGTGGTGCGAGTAAAATAACTATAACTTTGGCTTAATTATAAGTTTATAACGGAGATTGTAAAAGTTCTCAACATCGATTAGAGAACTATGGGTTGTAAATCACAGTTTTGGTGAAAATTTGAAATTTTTAGCTTTATGAAATATTTGCGTCGGAGTTAAAGAAAATATTGGAAGACCTTTGGACGTGATAACGTTTATTAGGTCCCGAAACTATTTTTTTTATTGATTTTTTCAAGTTGAAAATATGAGAGTATCTTTAAATTTAGGTTTTAAATCATTAATTTCAAGTGTTTAAATATTAATTATAATAGATTTAGCATGGGATAATATATTTTGAATAACATGAATATGATAATTTGTAGTTATGGTAAGATAAATAAAATGAAATAAAATAAATAAAAAGAAAAAAATTGAAAATAGGAGGATCAGTATGAAGATAGCGACTTTAAATGATTTAAATTGCTAGAATGGTAGCGATTATAATCCAATACAATCGCTAGAACTATAGCAACTCCTTTCATAGAGGATCGGGAACAAAGTATCGATCGTAACATTTTTTCCCCCACCTTTTTCTTTTTCTTTTTCCATTGAATTTCTTTTTCTTTTCCCATTGAATTTATTTTTCTTAGTGCGTTACTTTATTTAGATTCAAATACCTTTTATATTTGTATCCTTATTTTCAAATTTTTTTTGACATGGATTAGAAGAAAATTTTCACCAAAAATACATTTTGTAGAACATCAAGATGATAGTTTTGTGTTGTGGTATGGGCAAGACGAAAATTTAACAAAAATAAAAAAATAAGAGGAAAACTAATGAAAATGGCTTAAAAACTTTGAGTTTTAATGATAAAGACAAAATAAAGGGTAAAGTGAATAGTACCATGATTGATTTTTTAGTGTAAAAATGTGATTTTTCGTTAAAGTGAACAGTATCGCGAACTTTTCGTTAAAACTCCCAAAAAATAAAAATTTAAATAAATAAAACTAATGGTTTAGACGTAGTCCAAACTCACGCCTAAGTCCAAACACATGCCCACTAAAAAGTTCAAGCTGCAGTAGAAGCAATCAAGGCCCATGAGGTTTAGTGTTTAGGGGCATGTGAATAATAACACCCTAAGTTCAAGTGTTTAGGGGCGTGTTAATTTTATAGATGTTTTAATCTAAAAATATTTATATTCCGATAAATATTGAAAAATCACTAAACCTAACACTTATTAACTACATAAAATTAATTAGTAAATCATAATTACTAATTATTAAACCATAACCTTTAGCTCTAGCAAATATTTTATGTGGGAATTAACGAAAATGTCCCTTGATGTGATTTTATCCTTTATTAAGCCCCGAAACTATTTCTCGTTAATTTTTTGAAGTTGAAAAATAGAAAGGAAAAAAAAAAAAACTAATAGTGGGGTCTCCCAAAGAGATTTGTAGGTGTCCAAAATCTTGGGAATGTGCTAAATTAATTTTAGGAAACATGTGGTGCGAGTAAAATGACTATAACTTTGGCTTATAAGTTTATAACGAATATTGTAAAAGTTATCAACATCGATTAGAGAACTATGGGTTGTAAATCACAGTTTTTGTGAAAATTTGAAATTTTTAGCTTTAGAAAATATTTGCGTCGGAGTTAAAGAAAATATTGGAAGACCTTTGGATGTGATACTGTTTATTAGGTCCTGAAACTATTTTTTTATTGATTTTTTCAAGTTGAAAATATGAGAGTATCTTTAAATTTAGGTTTTAAATCATTAATTTCAAGTGTTTAAATATTAATTATAATAGATTTAGCATGGGATAATATATTTTGAAGAACATGAATATGATAATTTGTAGTTATGGTAAGATAAATAAAATAAAATAAAATAAATAAAAAGAAAAAAATTGAAAAGAGGGGGATCGGTACGAAGCTAGCGACTGTAATTGAGTACAATTGCTAGTGTTATAGCGATTGTAATCCGATACAATCGCTAGTACTATAGCAACTCTCTTCAGGAAGGATCGGGATCAAAGTATCGATCATAACATTTTTCCCCCCGCCTTTTTCTTTTTTTTTTCCCTTGAATTTCTTTTTCTTAGTGCGTTACTTTATTTAGATTCAAATACCTTTTATATTTGTATCCTTATTTTCAAATTTTTTTTGACATGGATTAGAAGAAAATTTTCACCAAAAATACATTTTGTAGAACATCAAGATGATAGTTTTGTGTTGTGGTATGGGCAAGACGAAAATTTAACAAAAATAAAAAAAAATAAGAGGAAAACTAATGAAAATGACTTAAAAACTTTGAGTTTTAATAACAACTCCTGATAGAATTACATCCACGACCTACTGCAATCTTTAATCCCGTCGAAGGACTACCCAGCATGAAGGTGATGATGAACCATGACCGGTCAAATCATATTGGAGGGTGGTGTACAGACAAGCTAGGCTGGCTTATTTTTTAGGTCAATGAAATATTGTAGACTAATTGTGGAAGTTTATTAGTGTTAAAGTAGTTAGTAGGACGTGCTTTGCTTAGCACATATTTGCTGTTGTGAGGTTGGAAAGTCCTTTTCTTCTTCCTAACATTCCATCAGTTACCAATTCCCATTATTTTATTCCTTATATATCTTAAATTAAAACACACTCAAAAGAATTGGCCTACCAACTTCCCAATCTTCCCTAACTGACCATTACGCCCTCCAACTTGCCATTTTCAAGTGACTTTCCTCTGAACTTTCAAGGTTGGTTTTAGTCATTTCACTCAAACACAAAATAGTGCAATATTCTAATGAAGCCAATCATGGTTGTTCAAATTAATTAACTGAAGGATAAGGTGAAGTCCAACAAACTCTAGCTAGCAAGGGAAACAGAAAAGCCTTTGCTTAAATTCTGAGAACGTTGAAAAGAAGAATCAGCTTCTTCTTCTTCTTTTAGTACTACAAGAAAACTCCCCTCGTCCCGTCAAGATTTTCTCACCAAAACAAGATAAAGCTTCTTCTTCTTTCCCTACCATCCAGGTTTCCTCAAGGTTTTTGTAGGCAGATATGGACTGCACCATTTGTACTTCTATGCCAGTTATGCTAAGGCCTCCGAGGAATGTAATTTGCTCGACATGCTATGAGGGAGCTAGGAGCGTTATCTTCTTCATAAATAAACAGCTTCAAACTGCTCAAGGACCAGCTGATCAAAAACCAAATTTGTGTAAGGCAAGCTATCTGGTTCCAAACTTTTCTCTCTTTTATATATATGCTTGATCCTTTCTATTAGTCACACTCTGAGTTTCAACTTTTCATCCTCTTCATTTCGTAGTTACTATAGTTACATACGCATATACAAAAACCTATCATACAAATCAAAATACAATAGTTGAAAAGCAAAGTTAATCAAGAACAAACTCAAGTTATAGTGTCTTTTATGTGCTGCTAATTTATTTTCTTTTACAGACTCTTGAAAATGTGTCGAAATGGGTGCGTGACATGAAAGCAGAATCAGAAGAACTCAGTGAGAAGATTAGATTTCTAAGTGGATTTTCTGTTGCATTTAGGGATCAAATTCACACTGACATATTATTGCAACCTGGTGAAAGCGGCCCTCCAATTCCCGCCCATAAAGCCTTACTGGTGACTCTCATCTCTTTGTGTGGCAATGTTTTATCAATTACATATGAAAGTTTTTGTATGTTGTGGTTAACCTCATTTTTTAAATGCTGATATGTGGTTGATAAGTAGTCGATAAGCATGATATCGTTGAACTTACAGTTGTTAGTATGTGGTCAATAAGGTTGTTGATATGTCATGATATTTTTGTCTGTTGTGCAGTTAATGGCAATATTTAAGAGTATGTACATGTGATTACTGTTCAATGAGGAACCATTCCTAATTTTTAAATTTTTGTTATTAATATACTGTAGGCAATAAGATCAGAAGTATTTAACAACATTCTAGACTCAGATGGGTGCAAAGCTCCAGCAACCGACACCGTAAAACTGCCTGAGCTGAACCATGAAGAGCTGGAGTCTCTATTGGAATTTCTGTACAACGGAGACTTGCCTGAAGATAAGATGAACAAACACATCTACTCTTTGTCCCTTGCAGCTGATAAGTACGGAATCTCGTACTTGCAGAAGCTATGTGAGTGTCATATGCTCAAGTCTATGAGCCCAGCCAATGCTCTTGATGTCTTAGAGGTTGCGGATGTTTGTTCCAGCCTAAAACTGAAGGAGAATGCGTTGGACTACATTGTTAAAAACATGCATGATATAGTTTTTTCTGCAAAATATGATAGTTTTGCACTTCAGAATCCGCATCTATGTGTACAGATTTCAAGGGCATCATTAATGGACGCCAAAAGAAATTCAGTTTCCTAATATATTAGTCAAAGATCAGTTAGACAAAGCCAGCACGCACAATCAATTGTGTGGAGTTCTTACAATTTTGTGAGTATGTAAATCTAAATTGACCTAAGTAAGAACGTACGTATGTAATTTTTGTTTACTATTTTTTATCTTCAAATATTACTACGTACAAGTAATATTGTGTTCAAGATAGAAAAATTTTTGCGGAACACATTCTCCACATTTAAAATTTAAACCTTACTCTGTAAAATTCGCATAATCAATATATGAAATATATTGTTAAATTTTAGCTTAACCATAGAACCATGGGATAAGCCATGGATGTTACATATATATGGACCTACACGTATCTACATGATAACTTGTACATTATAATCGACTCCACTATCAAGATTCCATGTGCGTCAAATGGATTCTCTCACTTTTGTTGGATTCACGCAGATTCGAGCAAAATTGGATATGGCGGCGAGGCCTACATAGCTGACCAGAAGCTTTTCGAAATGGATCGTAACATAGATGCCATTTGCTCCATCTGTCAACTGCTGAAGATTATCCCGAACGTCAGCGGACTTGAAAAGCTTCAGAGTCCTCAAATTCTTTGTGTCCACAACCAGAGAAGCAAATTACTTTCCATGTAGAGCACTCTGAGGAATGATCGTTTGATTATTGTGATGTTTTTGAGGTCTGATTAAAGAAATATTCATCCAAATATATGTGAAATGCTGGGCGGATCGGTTTGCCTCCATGTATGGCTTGGCTGTTACTGATTTATTCATGTTCTTTCCCGTTTCAATTCGAATTCTAGTCTAATCACCATTTTTTTGTTGATCGTCGACCGTCTCTTCGAATTTGTAGGTGTCTGTTGTGATTTCTCATGGATTTTGTCAGAAGTGATCCAACAAGACCATGAAATCCAACCTGAAATTGAGTCCAAAAACTTAATTAATAAACTTGAGACAGTACACATTATGTCTGACACAAAGGTGTTACACCATATATCATTATAGAAGTGAAATGATGTTTTATTTGTTAAGCTATTAATTTTTTTTAACAAAAATAGCTCACCACTTATTTAATACCATGTGATGTACGTGTTTCGGGCAACTAAAAATTCTCTGACATGCGAGAAGAGAATGACGTTGGTACGTTATTTTAAAAATGTTAGGCGTTCCGTATTCATTTGGACAATGGCACTATTGTAAATTTATATGAATTAAATTGGTTTGGGCTATGTTGAAAAGTCAAAATGGGTTTTTTTTATTTTTATAAACTTGGGCATGGGGGTTTTTTCATAGACCAGGTGAGGATGAAGGGCTTAATTGTAGATGGCCTCTTTGCAGAAATCCAAAATTATATTTGTCGTTTTTTGGTATTCCAAACACATATACATCGGCCCTAATTAGCACAAAAACAAACATAAGCCCACATTTATCCAAAAAATAAAAAAAAATAGACAAACAAATATAAGCCCACAGATCATCCTACAAGAAAAACGTTGACAAAAGGGAAGGAAAACCTAACCAATACAAAACCCATTTTGACCAAAAAAAAAAAAACACTGAAAACCCTAGCCCATTGACCTAAAAGATTGGAAACTATAAATATCCTCTTCATGTCAACTAGAGCACACGCACCATTCTTCTAAGTTGACATACTCCAACTCTGAAATTCTCTCTAGTCTTATTGTTCAAGAGATTTTGAAAATATTCAAGGCATAATGGCGTACAGGTTTTGCAGCGTTTGTCATGACCAACACTTTCAACAATCTCGGTCAGACAGTGTTACCATGCAATATCCATCTCCGGTTATGACGCCACAGCCTGGGCATTTGACATCAGTTAATCCATCAGGATTATTAACTCAAAAAATTTATCATAATAATTCTGCAGATAATTACATATGCCTGAAATGCCTTCAAGAATTCCTGAGCGTTAGGAATACCATAAATAACCTTATACCTCCTCACGCGAAACTGTGCAAGGCAAGCTCTCTCTCTCTCTCTCTCTCCCCCTCTCTCTCCCTCTCTCTCCCTCTCTCTCTCTCGCCCCCTTTCGCTACGTTCGTAATTATGATTCGTTTGGCTTGATTTAGTAATTGGTTTTTTTTTTTTCCACTCGTCTTTGGCATTCACTGTTTCATAATCTTACGTGAAGAAAAATGGATATAAACTATTGAATATTTTTAATCAAGACTTACAATTCTGAAAATCAACACATGACAATGACATGGCATTGTTGGGTTAGGGAGCAGGACTAGGCAACCCTGGTCAGTCGTCCGAACTAAAAGTTTTCCTTAATTTGATTGCCCTAGGAATGGCGACATGCTTTTATTAAATTGGTATCGATGATTAATTTTGGCTAATTCCTTTTTTTCTTTTTCTTTTTCTTACCTCCAGACTCTCAAAGACGTGTTAGGATGGGTGTTAGAATCAGCCAAAGAAGTTAAAGCACAAACGGAGAAGTTGATTCCTAGCCTGGCCTTCATATGGAGATGTTCTTGCTTGCAGTGACTTACTTGTCCATCCTGGTGATAATATTGGACCTTCAATTCGTCCACATAAAATCATATTGGTAACCCCTTCTCCCTTTATCTCTAGATCTGTTAATAAATAGGCTGAATTAATCAATTTACAAAACCAAATTGTTGAAACAATCGCTTTCAAATGTTTTATTGATATGATTATTCTTTGACAATATATATCAAGTATTAATCAGCATAATTTATTACTCTAGGCGACTAGATCAAAAATCTTTGACACTATTACTCCAGACTCGTCTCAAAGTATAACACTGCCTGAGATGACGAACCATGAGGAGCTTGAGTCTCTCTTGGAATTTCTCTACCATGGGCAGTTGCCGGAAGAAAGGTTTAGCAAGCATATATACTCCTTGACGCTAGCAGCCCAAAAATATAAAATCCCATACTTGGAGGAGTTGTGTGGTCGTCACTTGAACTTATCCAATGTTCTTGATGTTTTAGAGCTTGCGAATTCTCGTGCCAGCAAAAGATTGAAGATGAATGCCTTGGAATACATTGCCGAACACAAGAGTGAAGTAGTTTCCTCTAACAAGTTTGATACATTTGCAATGAAGCATCCACATTTATGCTTGCAGATTTTAAAGGATTCCTTGTTCAAGTCTGGCTTGGATGGTCGACAATGAGTTCGGAGGATGGTTAAAATTAAAGGTTATTTGGCTAAAGGTCAATAAAATCTTTACTAATAGTGATATCAATGGTCAATTTTATTTTTGGGCATGATCAATGAAATATTTATAATAATTATGCATAGGTCAATGAAGCATGACACATGAGTTTAGGTTAGTTTTGCAAGATTTAAATGATTTAGTATTCGAAACCGTAACCCGACATAAACCAAATTGGAACCAACATGAACTGAACGGTACGATTTTAGTAATAAATTTAAATAGAACGGAACAAACTAAAATGTTGATATTTCTTGATTCCAATTTTAATTTTGAAAGTGGAACTGGGCCCAACCTCACCGTGCCACCACTAAAGAGCAGGTCTCATAAGTGGTGTTGATGGTGAGAAAATGGGAGAAAAAAGAGACCTATATATTCAAATGAGAAGAAAGAGACGTAAGTTTGAAGAGAGAGAGACCTAAATATTCAAGAAATAACCCAAAATATTTGAATGACCTAATTATATTTAAACGGGTTAGGCTCAATAGGATAAGAACAGATATGGAGTATAATAGGATAATATATTAACAGGTGTAGTTTAGGCCGTTGATACGAACTTTATATCAATTGTGAAATGAAGTGAAATAGCCAACATTTGAGGGTAATATATTTTTCTTTCTAAATATTATGATATACTTATACTAAGAGGTGAGGAATTATAGGCTGGCCACATAATGTGTTTATCATAATAATATGATAACAAACTCGCTATTCATGAAATTTATTCTACTTTGACAAGGATATAGGCTTCCATTCCTTCAGCAGCAGAAGGCCACACACAAAATCATAATGGCGTACGTAGGGTTATTTATTTTGATACCGAGTTTTGGGTTTGGGATTGGGATGTGGGATCAATTTTGTCGATGGCCCAGGGTTAGTTTTAGGCCCTGGTTGTTCGTTGATACGAAGCATTATATCAATTCTGGAAGAATTAGCCAACGTTGGAGGTTGAATTGTGGTGGTAATATTTACAAGGGCATAGTTTTTATACATAGATTTTGGACTGTTTTCATGCCAAAGATTTTCCTTTCTGGCCCAAAAAAAAAAAAAAAAAACAACAACCGATTAAGGAAAACACTATTTTAACCTCCTGGTTCTTTTGCAAAAGTCAAAGAGGCCTACAAAGGGTTTGAAAACGAGTCCTCCGAAGAAAAGTAAGAGTAGTATTATTTATACCACGTTTTTATATCACATTTTTATACCATCTGAGGTGGCATCTGATGTAGATAGCCACATCATTTAAAAAATTTGCAAAACTCAAGAGAAGGAAGGAAAAAAAAAACTCTTCGTATACCACAATCATAATTTAATTAACTAGTTTTTCTTAATTATTAGTTTATTAAATAATAAATTAAATTTAAAAATCTAATTAATTCAAATAATGTGGTTATCCATATCAAATATCACCTAAATTGGTATAAAAATATGATATAAAAACATAATACGAATAACTTTACTCGAAAAGTAAACCTAATAAATAATCCTACTGCCATTCCTTCAAGCTAACACAAGGGCGCACACATTACAGTATTATTGATTCTGCTTCTGGTCTGCAGCGCTGCTTTTATTGGAAAAATTAAATAAGCCATATAAATTATAGCGTACTGCTGCTGCATTTTCTCTCCGGCAATGCAACCTCCACCTAGTCATCAGCCACCGCCATAAGCGCGACCTCGATCGAACCCCATAAACTAATAGTTATGCCCTAATTATCCAACTGCATTAGTCAATACTTCTTAATTATCAGAAGATGTTCATTTACATATGCTTGAAAAGAAATTATGACTTGCGGAGTCCAGGACGTTTTTGAGATGGACAAACATGCTTGAATTTGATGAAGCAAAATTCTTGAAGTTGATTAAATGTCAGAAGATTAAATTCCTCACGGGACGTGCATTGTAGCTGTGCAAGAACACTTAATTAATTACTGCTGCGTCTAGTGGACTTGGCTTCTTTTCAGGTTAGTATTTTAT